TAAAACTTCTCCAGTAGAGGGCGTAGGAGACAAAGGCTGTGTGTTAATAAATCCTTGAAGTATCTTTGTCTCGGCGTGCTTTGGTGTATGAAGGGGGGGTCAGAACATTTGGTTATATATAAAAGACGGGATAGAAATATTTAATAGTATAATAATGATACAAATGATGGCTGCTACAAAATGGGGCAGTGCATCCTCTCTCTCTCAAAGAGAGAAATGGTTCTGCCCACATTGTTGGCAGTCAGCCTCTCCTACTTTCAATGATAATATAAAACCGAGAATTTAAAAGAAAACTGGCTAATCTGTCGCCATTAGCGCAATGGTTGTGATCTCTAAAGCATTCCAGATCAAATTGCTGATATATTTTTTTTGACAAAGCCATTTTATTAAAAGAAGGGTTAAAGTGAGTTAAACTCTGCAACTATTCGAATCCTCTCCCCTATAATCATGAAATATTTTAATACAGGCCAAAATTCCAGCTCCATCACCCTATGGCAATCAAAGCCTGAACATTCTTTTTATTAAAAAAAATAAAACTCACCAAGGGTTGGTCAACCCAGATTTGAATAATTAAAATAAATAAAAGTAGGTGCCTCAATTTGGATCTCTGAATGGCCTCAAGAGTAGCTTCCTAAAAACAATCCAGCAGAAGAAAGGTAGGAAATTATTCCAACCTAATTGTTTGCAATTAAGTGTAGGATCACAAGACTGTTCCTGCCTGAAAAATACAGTTCAGGGTTGAGAATGTTTTAAATGAAGGCCAGTCAAATGTTCTGAAGCAGTAAGCTGGATGTTTATGAGGCATAAAGTTAGTGTTATTCACAGGAGTTTTTGTCTCTAACTGAAATAGTTATCTAATTGGTTCTGCTTCTGAATCTTCTAGATACTTGGTACTTTATAACAACACATAAACTGCAAGTTATACTATACCTTCCTTAAGTAGAGTGTAGCAGAAGAGGCGTGCTTTTTCTAAGTCTCCAAGCTGATGGCATATTCCAACATAGATCCTGCAGAGGGACTGAATATAATTGTGGCCCAAGGATGTTTTCTGCTTTTTCAGTTTATTTAGAATAGTCTGCAAAGCTGGCTCAGCTAAGGACTATAAATGCAAAACATTATTCGCTTTTGAGTTTCAACAAGTGTCAGCGTAATGAGAAAGCAATAGTAAAATGAACAGATAGAACAATGATCTTCAGAATTAGCAATTTATCAATACAAGGAAGAATAGACTCAATGCTGAGAAAATATACAGCTACTCTAACGAATTCTTGACAGATACTACATAAATGTCCATCTGTGCTCCCCAGCATTTTTTTTTCCTTTGAATCCAAAGCACTGCACTGTCCTTTGGTATCTCTCATTAAATACACTACAGAAGAATCTATTGCTTGGAATTTTCTCCTGCCTTTTTACTTAGATCCAGTGTCAACTGAGTAAGAGCCATCTATGGTTATGTAAGGGTCTTAAATAAGCAGAATTTGCTAGTCGTCTTCTTTTGCTTCTATCAACTACAGTATCATGATTTTCAAATCTACCGGTAGCAATTGGTGCTTCCTATTTCCATTTTCTCATGGCACTAAAGACGAAAAAGTATTTTCATTGAAAAGGTTCGAAGTTATATTTTGTATATTGCTGGAGGCAACTTTAAAATCATCTGATTTTAAAGCTTCCGATCGGTCTCCGAACGTACTTCAAGGTGCTGGTCATTACCTTTAAAGCCCTACATGGACTAGGTCCGTGACCCGTCAAAACCGCGCTCGACTAAGCCGCGCCCGATTAAACCACGTCGCTGATGTCATCAACAGGGCAACAACAGCC